GCAGAGGAACTGGAAGGGAATCTAAATCTGCTATTTCTGTTTTGTGTGCATACTAATTACGCATAAATAGATGATGGTGAGTTTAATATGAGGGGTTTAGGGTAATACAATTGATATTCAAGTAAGGAACATTCGTTGGAAATTTCTGTTTCTTATTTGTCGAAATCTATTTTTCTGATATTTTTCCGGATCATGTATTACACGAAAGAAGAACCCGACGCGCAAACTTCCATATGTTTAGCACTCGTTGATGTGTGGACTATGGAAAACGTTATGGCATCGGAATCCAAGGCAAGACGCAACAGCCTTATTCTGTCCCTCAACTAGATCAAGCCAGTAAACGTCACTGCCATGTTCTTTTATTCACTTGTCTCCGCTAATCAATTTGTAGTGGAAAATACCACAAGACAGTCCGATCTTTAATTCTTGACGTGGTCTTTCCAGCAAAAGCCATATTTAGAGGAATATTTTGACTCCTACGGGTGACAGAATTAATATTTGTTTGTAGGTTATATACCGTTTCCGGACTAATCCACTTTGGTAACTTATGAATATTTTTAAGCCTGCGACTGATTTGTGTATATTCATGCTATTAGTTATAATCGTTACTAGTTTTCAGATGATTTTTTAAGAAGTCTGAATTAATGAACGACACTGTCGTAGCCTGGCGCGCTCTGCAACCACTGATTTGCTGCATGCATGAGGCACAACTCCATCTTTCACTATGAGCTGTAGCTTCGAAAGATTTGACTTCCAGCCCTGGAAATGACTTTAAATATCAAAGGAAAAACCGCCTGACAACGTTCCCATCTTTTTTTCCAGTCTGACGCTTTCAGTCTGCTTTCAAGGTCTGAAAGAAATTCTTCCAACCGTCTGTCAAATTAGTGTTTTTTCCTTTTGTCCCACTGTTCTCGGAAGTGCACTGGATATGAAATGCCTTCTTTCAATAATTCTGTTTTTTCTACCTAGGACTAATGTGAAGTTAAGCATGATTTGGCCCACAGTAAACTACCGGACCAAATCAATCGATAGTTCGGGATTTTAGAAACAGTCTAGTCCAGTTCAGCATGACAATGTTTTATCAGTATTGTAACATCGTCAATGCTTTTGTTTTCCATTTAAGTTGAAGCAGCTCTTGTGTGGACCTTCATACTTGGGTAGCTGATCTTAACATAATTATATCCATTTTATCAAGAACTGCTTTAAGACATAGAAATGATATTTATGGGAGAAGTTAACAGATCAGGTCATTTTTTGTAGTACAGACGCCACAAATTATCAACTTGTAGTATCTTAGCTAGAAGTTTCGTTTTATAGGTGCCTGAAATTTTAGAAGAGAAGAGTGAAATTTCGTTTGTACACAGTCCATCGGTTCGCCGATGTGCATCTCAAATGGCTTTCCATGGTGAGAAGACAAAATTCACGCAAACACGGACGAGAAAGATGTTGCTTTAAGACATGCGACCTATTCGGTTTAAACGTACTGGATCATATGAAGCGAGAATGCGATAAGACGAGGAATTAAGAGATTTTTGGCAGGTCGAATTAATGCTACGCAGTAGAGTGGTGCTGGAGACAAGAAAGCAAAGAGATCAACCGT